CTACATTCGTATGGAGGGGTTGCAGCTAATCGGGGTATTGTAGCCAATCACAAAAAGAGCCTGAGAAAGTTTCCGTCACTTGCTTCTGACAGGTCCGACTGGCTTCATCCTTATCCTGATGGTGGTAATGGGTCGGCCCTTTGTAGCAAGTAGCGCGTGGGCGTTGGAAATGCGGGGTGGGTAGACTGGTCACTGGATCACACCATGTTGTTGCAAGTGCAGGGACTGGGATGCCAATCATCGTTGCGAACGTGGTTATGGCGTACAGCTGGTGTTGAGGGGTATCGTGTGGTCGGGAGAATTCGGAGAGGTGGTATGTGTCGTCGCTGGGAGAACGTTCGAGAATTGTGCCAACATGTCGGTATCCGCTGAGCTGTTGACATCCAGTCTCTCCGTTCGTCCCTTGACGCTCCCTTGTCGCGATGCATGAAAGCATATCCGAAGACACATTGCTCCACATAGCTCCGACATGGCCAGTCTAGCGCAGGAACTCAGCGTTGAGATAGTCGACAAAGACCTCCTTTATGCGTGCTTTGGAGAAGCTGTGTTGACGATTCAGGGTGATGAACTGGCGGCGGATGCGCTGGAGTTGCGGGAGGGTCATTGGCGTCGCAGGGAGCTCGATGGGCTTCTCGACATCGGCAACGGCAATCTCTCCACCCCCTTCACCTGGGTGGTCTTTCTGGTACACCATTATCTGGGCGAGGATATCGGAGGTCGTCTTGTCGAGCTCGTAGAGGTAGTTCTGCTCTGTCGCTGGTTTCTGCTGTGTGTTAGAGGCATCTCAGCACATTAGAAGAACTGAAGTACGCACCAGCACGGTCGCGAGGTTCGGCTTGACAGTCTTCATCTTGCCATCGCTGCTGACTATGGTGTCCCATATCTGGTCGCACGGCGGCTTCTCGTCCTCCTCGACGACGATGAACAGCGGACTGTCCCATCGCGTCATGCCATTGGGCTCCTCGTACCGGAAGATGAGATTCTCAAAATCCTCCTCCTCATAGCCGCCGTCGGCATCCTTATCCGCCAAGAGCTTCTTGTTGTTCTCGCGACATCGGTCGGCGGGCGTGCCTATGTGCAGCTCTAGGACTGTCAGTCGTGCCTTCCATCTGCGCACACGGTATACTGACAACGCAGCTTGGAGTCTGTAGAGCCTTGGCCTCGCAGTACAGCTGGTAGCGGAAGCCCTTGATGTAGTTTAAGCCATCGGCGATAACGATGTCATCGCGCGACAAGACTCTCTTGACGGCGGAATATTCTTCCGCACGTGCATCCTTCTCGGCTTTGGCGGTATGGTAGACGGCGCGCGACACGCCCAGCGACTGGTCGTTGATGAGATGGACTTTTAGGCGGGAAGTGCGCGCATCAGGAGGCGAACTGGCGATCTTGGCCTCGAAATACTCTTTTAGCTGGAGGGCTCTGGTGGTCTTGCCCGCGGAAGGGAAGCCTTCGTTTGTGGGTTAGCTCAATGGCGGGGGGGAAAGCATGGAGGGGAAGGTGGAACCTGAAATTAAAACGAGCTGCCCTGGTCAGTAGGCGAGTCTGGGGAAGGTTCAACGAGGACTTACGGGCATGATGCGAGTAGGGCGAGCAATGCTTTGCCTGCAAGAGGTAATCCGCGTAAAACTAAAGAGACCTGGCGTCTCGATGCGATGGCAAGCGTCGGCAGATCAGATTGGCCTGTGACGAAATTCACGAGCTAGCAGTCTGAGCCGCGGTCCAAGTAAAGCCATGGATTGTGCTGCCTATCTTGCAGGCGATTCCACCTTCCTTTTGCCTGTATCCTGCTTTGCCTCACCTTGTCCCGACTTCAGCCTTTATTGCACACGTCTAGACGAATTCGCTGGGATTGTTCCGGGTGACGCGCAGAAGATCGCCAATACAGGGTAATATCGAGCTACCACGGGTCCATATTTACTTTACCCATACCCTCGCCTCACCCACTGTCTACACCCTTTGCACTCCTCTGCTCTCCTCGCCTCCATCGAAGACTTCAAGGACTCCACCACGACCCTACCAGCCATTCCCGCAGCCATGTCCAACTACTCGCAACAACACTACGGCGCGCCCAGCCGACCCGCCTTCTCTGCCCTCCAGTCCTCCAGCACCCCAGCTGCAAGCTACACCAGCACCTCCGCCTCAAGCCACGCCTCCTCACGCTCTTCGACGCAATCTGCGCCGCCCGTCTCGCCGTCTACGAGCCCCCAGAACCACCAGTACTTTGGCTCCTTGAACCAGCAGTCGCAACAGTTACAGCAGCAGCCTCGCATGCAGGCCCAACGGCAGAACAGCTTCGAGTACCAACCGAACAGGTCAGGAGCCGGCCAGACAGCTGCTGAGACGACAAACTACCTCAACCAGGCTGCGCTGCTTGCCGAGGCTGCGAAACGGGCCCAGATGGCGTGTGTTATGCGAGATCTCGACGGAATGGAACTATAATTTCCATGGGACCTGGCTACAGATCCGTCGTACCACGACAACCACCACCGCGACAAGACCATGCACACCGCGAAAACATTTTGCCGGTCAAAGTCGGCCCTGAGCGGTCTACTTTACATGTGCATGCTTCCAACGGAGTGGGTCCGTCCATCAAAGTCTTCAAACTTCGCGAGGTCATCACTCCACCATTCTCACCGGAAACGTTCTTCGCCATACCTTTCGCTTGAGTCTGCGGTGAAGAACGTACCGGTGCTGCGTTTACCGACTATACTGCCCGATATTCCTACCGCGGCTACTTCATTTCGATTGTACATACTTCTCCACTATCGGACCGACTAGGCTGTTCTGTCCACTTTGCACCTTTTCTTACCACGGAGCTCGTATCTTGACAGTTGTACCTTGGGTATCAGACACGTTGAGTAATCCACTGTATTTTGTGCTGTCAGAATACAGTGGCCACCCTTTGTGTCGTTGCCTAGGCACATGTTGCAAAAACCGAGCTCCCCCATACATCATCTATCTCATAGCTTGGAGTTCCACGGCGAAACAAACATCACACCGTCACTTTTTTCATTATTTCTTTTTACCCTTTCACATGTCGCGATCCTCGAGTCTAGACTTAATAGCAAACGAGCGCTTTGGGCATTGGCAGCATTTCTTTTTAGATGGACTACGCATGCGGATGCGGCATATAGTATAGACCAACCAATCAAGACACTTTGTCCAATATCGTTGCGTTATCGATTGTCGCGCTTCGCTTCTGCTACGCTCACACAGGAAGGCTACATTGCTTGTGAGTTTGCGCATGGATGGGGGACTTGCGTGATTATCTTGCTCTACAGCTTCGGTGGTAGGCGCTTTGACAAGCCTTGGGATCGTGAGAACTTGTCACGCAAGAGTGTAGAGATTGATACACCTCCACGTATATGACAAACTTCAAGCTCAGAACCCTTCTTCCATGGGCCAACTAATGTCCTGTGGTTTCCCTTACCCAGCGAGTTTGGGTAGTCAAGTTACCGTTGAACCATTTCGTAGAGCCAAATGAGGCATTGGGACCATCACAGCACACCCCAACAACACAGTGGTGCTCGAAGATAGATATTGCTATGAAGAAAGAACACAAACAACAGACTTTTAAATACCAAACAACAATGGCGTGCTTGCACCCTTATCTCCCACCAGCGCAGCCTCGTGCGGGGTCCTTCACCGGAACCACCCCCAAACGAGCCCGAGAAGATGAAGGGGCGTGCATATGCACATACATATAACCTGCATCATATAAGAACGTGCAGCAAGGCAAAAAAAAAGACCATAATAGAAACCCCGAGTAAACCGATACAAGCCTGGTCTGCGCACCATTTGCCTTCTCTGAGGCTCAACACCTCTGCACCGAACTGCGTGCTTCCCTCTCTATCGTCCGCCTCACTCTTTCACTCATGACCTTTTGCTTGCTGCTCGTAACCTATTGCAAAAGGCCATGGCAAACTCTCCCCAACCACTCACTGACACGTGCCTCGCCTACAGCGCCCCTTTGAATCATCCGACCAATGCCAGACCAACGGGTCAACACACCTCTTTGGCGTCACCAACTCATCGCCCATCTTACTATCGCAGCGTGCCAGCGACGATGGCCGCAGTGCTAGTGACGATGAGCTTGATGCTGAGGGTGCCGGGTTCGCAGATGTGAGCGGACGGCAGAAATCTATGACCACGATGCTGCCTGATGTGTTGTCTTCGCTGGAGCCGTAGGTGCGCCCTGGCTTGATCATGAAGACGAGGCGTTGGGAGTCAAGGACGCCGGTTACGCTTCGTGTGGTGGAGGATGATGTGTTAGTGGTGGGGAGGATTGGGTTGAGTATCCTGTGGAGGCGTGCTGAGCAGGGACAGCGTGATGAGGGAGGGGGCCACATGCGGACGGACGACTGGCGGTAGCGTGTTTGCGTATCCACGAAGGAGGGCTTGGTATCGTCGATGGGGGCTTTTCCTTTGCTGTTACTGGTGCTGTTGTGAATGGAAGTGAAGGAGAGGCCTAGTTCGCGGCGTGATCCTATTCGCAGTCTGAGGCATGGTGCTTGCAAGGGGTTGTTGCAGCAGCAGTCGTCTTCGACTAGATCGACGAAGGAGGTGCACGGGTAGCTGTAGGCTCGGAATTTTGTTCGGGACAGAGTGAAGGAACGGGGGGAAGGATCTGTTGGGGAGAACTCAGGGTGCTGGCTCCAGCTGTAGAGATCGGGTGTTGGTTTCCATTGGGGGTTGTTGGATGAATCTATGAGCGGGAGGAAGAGATCATCCTCAGGTCCGAGTAGTTCATCTGATGGTTCATCGGTATCGTCCTCTTCTTGAAAGTCCATCTTAGTGACGTAGAAGGTGCGCGACTGGCGAGAAGATGCTTGAGCCCATTCTCGACGCGACTCCACAATCACCGTCTCGTTTGTACGCTCATCAAGCTGTAGTGCAAGATCGGTCCATGAGTCGTGGATTGGTCCTTGCTTGTGCTGTCGACGAAAGAGGCGCTCATCTTTTTGAACGTCATCTGGTTTGTCCAGTGGGAAACGCACCACATGGTAGAAGGAGGTATAATCGATCTCTTCAACTTCAAAGGTGCCCTGGTTAGAGACAGCGTAAAAGTAGTTATTGTGGATTTCGAACGCGATGGTGGAGCCGATATCAGATCCGTGAAACTTATCGAGCAGTACTGGTCTTTCGCGTTCGGTTATCCGAAAGTCTCCATGGAGGGAGATGCCCTCAATCTCCCATTTGTGATGACCGTCATCGCCGATTCCAGTATGTGTGCCGTAGTATAGATAATGCTTATTATGTCTAACAAAAAGCTTAGAGCATTCGATTAACCGCACCGATTCGATCACTCTTTGTCCATCCGGAAGGTTCGCTGCCGTGTTGATGGCGAATATATGGCTGTCATCCGAGTTGTACTTTGGTATAGCATGCACAGAGAGGATCTCATCAGCATAGTAAAGTAAGCGCACGCTGATGTTACCAAACGCTCTGAACTTCGACTCCAAGACAGGCCGAATAATAGCTTGGAGATCGAGACGGATAGCTTCTTTCCGCGAATTGAGATCCGTGACGTGGACCACCCCAGCGTCGAAAACACATATAGTCCCCTGTCGATACAAAAAGTTGTTTCCTCGGCCCAGAACGCGAGCCGAAAATGGGTGCGCAGTTGACAAAGCATGTCTCCTGTCATAAATAGCCTGAAAAGCCTGCTTGTAGGTAATCTCCCCTCTTCGGGCTAAGTTTGCTTCTTCGGTATACGGATGGTTGATCTATAAGCAGCGTCAGCTTTGGTGTAAGCACATTGACCGTTTGGCGCCATCTGACCTCGACGGTACGCCTGACAACCGTCCTTTCGTCTAGTACGGCTCGTAAGTGTCGACATGTTTGACCGAGATGAACAATGTCCTCAAGCTCCAAATCCAAGGTAATGCAGAAGATTAGGTCAAAAGGCAGCCGGTCGAGGGAAGTCGTCATAGAACGAGATAAAGATATATAGAGCTCTGGCAGAGAGGGCACGTGAGCAGATTTCCATGTGAATAATTGGCTAAGAAGAAGCAAGATCTTAGATCTAGACGAGAGAAAAGGGTTCAAGCTAAGGCGAGGTGGCGTAGGTCAGGTGCCGAGTACTACTCGTTGAATGCGCAGCATGCACGGGCTTTGAATGATCCCACATTCGCAGAGCCGCATGGTTTGAGGGATAAGCTAGGGTAGAGTCTAATCCATGCAATGGGGTCAGCCTTCTTCCGTTTCATGCAATCCCTGACTGCTATTCCGTCGGAAGGCTGAAGAATAGAAAGCTGTGTGAGCCCGATGATATTGCGGGGTCGAATTGGGGCCACGACGCACGATGTGTTACCAGTTCGACCGATCAGAAAAGGTCAGATGCTCTGTCGCATAGGTCCTGGACTACAACTATGTTTCGTGCGATGATGGTCGGGTTGCTGGATCGTGCCAAGCGCTGAGCCGCATTGACTTTCGGATGAGGTAAGCGTTGCGGCTCTGCTCGAACAAAAAAGCAGGTACCCCACACGACCCTACTCTTTCTTGTTGGCTTAGCCTACTAGAAACCCCGCACACCTACGAACCAAGGGGCCGAGTCCCGGTACTAGATGGCTAGCTGATGGATCGACGCGCTTTGCAGGGTCGCTCGACACCATCGAGCGTTTTGGCCCCATGATGCTGTGCCATCCCATGTACACTTGATATATGCTCAGCCTTGCTCTGCAATATTGAAGGATTCGAGTAGAACATTGACCCGCCAGGCTGATTCCAGAACCAGTCAGATCGATTCCCTATGCGTCCTACACCATGCTCGTGCAGCTCGTGGCACGGTTGCGTGCATGTAATTTCGCTTTCACACCTTCTCAACGCCCTTGGCCCTGTCAGAGCGGCGTGTTGATGCATCGGGGATGCGGGAACGCTATAGTGCCAATTGCAGCTTGTTGGAGACATCATGCCGGTCGTTGCGCATTAGAGCCTGAAAATTCAGGATACCGTCAATGGGTTCGACCAGTAGGGGATTATGTGGTACGCCATCGGGCTTCGTGTGTACGAGGTTCTCCATGTGATCAATCCTAGCGAAATGGGGCACTCTTCCTGTTTGGTACAAACAGATAGCGGAAGCTGGTTGCGGAAATCCTTCGTGAGGAGATTGCTCGAATGAGGACTGAGTGGCCTTCGTACCGATAAATGGATGCGTGTCTCCTTGCTTCCATGGTGCCCGACCGGGCTGAACAATCGTGTCACTCCATCGATGTTCTTGCACTCTTGCACGATGTATGGCTTTCCCAGCTCTTACGAGAACCCAACTAATACGTCCCACATGTATTTGGTGGAACGCGATGCCGAGTGTAGACGCACATGACTGATCGCGTGGTTGCTCGTGTCTCTTAGCATCAGGCTAGGTTACTCAACCGAATCGTTGGAACGGAATTGGAGAAATGAAGCGACGTGGCGGGGTCCAGTCTGTAGGCGTGGATGTTCGTCCTCCGAAGCAACGGAAAGAGACGCAGTCGCTTAGAGATAAGCCACGAACATCTCATCACTGCTCTGGACCGGCACGTTGGCGTTCTTGCCCTTCCCACCCGATATATGGCCAGCCCTTGGGAAGGCTCGAGTAGGGCGGCAAAGTGTATCGTCCTTTGCAGCTTCCCGCATCCGGGCAGTCCAGGTCGCATAGGCCGAAGGTCTTGCAGTAGCACTCTTTCGCGGTTGGGCAATGGACCGGAGGTTTACCGAAAATCACTATCAGTCATGTTAGCACATGATCCACGCCACTTGAAGAAGCAAAAAGCGAGCAGAGCCTCATGACGGGCGGGGTCGCGAGGTAGGGCGCGAAATGCCAGCGGATGTTGACTTACTGTGCCAGGAGTACTCAAACACCCTCCCACTGATAGCGTCCCCCAGTTCAGTCCCCATAATCCAATCGCGATACTTCTCATACTGCTCCTTGCTCCTCTCCCTAATCTTGTCCCTCGTCGCCGCAAACTGCGCACAGCAGCTCACCCCAACAGCATCCGGCACCTTCTCCCCCGGAAACAGGCTCTCAAAAGCCTTCTTATACTGTCCGCCCGCATGCACGGCCTCTCTGTGTTCGCCCGCTTCCGCCAGCGGCTTGATCTCGTTGGGGCAGCCGAGGGACCAGGCGCAGCGGATGTTGACGTAGCCTTCTTTCTCGAGGTAGGGCAGCTGGAAATGGCGCAGCATGGGGAGGCCGTCGTAGTCGGGGTCGTCGTTGTGCCATTGGTAGCGGTTGGGGTGGATGAAGAGGACGTTGTCGGGGAGGGACGCGTAGTGGTCGATTATGTAGCTGCGCGCGTATCCGTCGTTAGCATGCTGGACATGGGACGGAAGATGGTATGGATGGGGACGTACGTCAGATAGACCATGCTCTCTCGGCCCTTGTTCTTCGGCACCGTGAGCTCGGCACTCGGATCATCGACATGGTAGATATTCTTCTCCCAGTGCGGAAAGTACTCCTCGAGCCACGTTGCGTTCTCGGAACTCTGGCTGGCGACGACGACGGCGGTCCGACGCGCTTTGATGCCGTCGTTCGCTTTTAGCGGCTTCCCTTTCGGGTTGTGCGATGACTCGTCTGGCTGCTGCTCATCGTAGAGTTCGTCGGGAAGGTGCGACTTGGCCGATCCAGCTGAGGCTGCCGTCTTGTCCCAGAGCGCGAACTTCAGATGGACGAAGAGGGCGGTGAGTAGGACGATATTGACGAGTATGACCACATTGCGAGCGGTGATTAGACGAGGCATGGCGCCACAAAACAAAGTGCCCACGATGTTTGCACGACGGTTTCCAGGAACCTGGGGCATCGGATATCACATGCGAACACCAGGGGCTGATCGGCGCTAGCCGATTCAAGCTCCCATTAGCGTGGTAGCGTAGAAGAAGCCAAGAATACAAAGGATGATCACAACTCTTTTCTATTCTCCATGGCATTCTATACTCGAAATCGTTCTACACACTACGTACTATCCGCTCCGCCAACGCCGTAATACTCGTGCGCGAATCCAATAGATCCACCATACCAACCTTGTACCCCAGCGCAACGTGGAACCAATTTCGTAACTCGGCTGCAATCAAACTATCGACGCCATGGTCCGACACAGCACGCGCGCAATTCACAGTCGTTGGATCAAGCAAGAGCATAGTCGCAACCGCGTTGGATATGGCTGATGTAACGAGTGCGAGGGCTTCCGCGTGGCACGCGAGTTGATCTGAGCCAGGGGCAGCGTTGCGAGCCTTTTGCACAGCAGCACCGAATGCGTCGCGGACCTGCGCTGTGGATGAGCGTGCAGTGTCCTTTTGTGGAGAGTCGGCACAGCTATCTTCCTGGTGCAAAGCATCTTCGAATGCACGGATTACATGGGAGACGCGAGCGTCGCCATGCCAGCGAGGTGTTGCGACGCTTCGGATACCCATCTCAGCATCGTCGCGCTCTTTTGCGAGCATGTGTGCCGGATCCATGTACGTTACGTAGGTAGCGGCGGCGAGGGGGTCAGCGGCAGTTACATTGGAAAAGGGAAGAAACGCCGGCTCGAGAAGGCGGAGGAAGTAGCTTTCAGATTCAGTCAGGACTTTGTTGCGTGCCATCAAATCCAGTGTGGTGGTGTCGGTGCTCAGGTGGCCAACGTCGTTAACAAGGCCAAACTGGGCAGCCGTAGCAGGCAGACCTAGACGGCGGCGGTAGCGTGCGAACTGGTCCTGGAAGTTGTTGGCGGCCGTGTACGCAGCCTGAGTCGCGAAGCTCAGTACCGAGAGGATGGAAGTGGTCATGACGAAGAATTCCAACGGCAAGTGTTTGGTAGTGTCATGTAGGTTCTGCGTGCCATGTACCTTCGCGGCGAGGCCATCTTGCCAGCCAGGGGCTGTCACCTTGTCGAAAGAGATATCTTGGTAGGAAACGGCGCAGTGGACGATGCCCTTGAGTTCGCCAATGGTGGACGCGTACTCAACGGCTTTTGCGACACTCTGTCGAATACCGAGATCGCAAGCAACGGGATGTACACGAATACCAGATTCGGCGAGCCTGTCCACAAGTGTGTGCGCTTCGGGCGCGCTCCGCCCACGGCGGGACAAGATAACGAGCTCTCGTGCACCACGATCACCCATCCACTGGATAATAGACCGTCCCAGACCGCTCAGTCCACCAGTGATGATGTAGCAGGCTGTTGGGTCGAAGGTGACGGCTGGTGGTGCCTGTACCATGCGTACCAGTGAGTTTGATGTGAATGTCACAACTAGCTTGCCAACATGTTTGCCTTTGGAGAAAGTCAGCAACGTCTGGTGGAGTTGGGAGATGTCTGAGGTAGCCAGAGGTTGGATGGGACTGATGCGCCCCGCACGGTAGTGAGCGTTCACCGCGGTCATAAGCTCGGCACCTAGTTTAGGGTCGCGATCTACGACACGGGCAAGATCGAAAGATGAGAAGCTGGCGCTCTTCTGAAACAGCTCA